GGAAGATATTCGTCTTCTTGAAGGATTCGACTGCCGATATTTACGTAGTTTGGTGCGGGTTGGATGGAGCGAGCTTGTAAGCAACTCTGGAGTGAAGCGTATTTAGTATTGATTTGATGGAGAATTCGTTGGCCCATCGAATTCAGGTTAGTCGGCTTCGCTGGTTAGGACACGTATTGCGCATGTCATCGTATGGCGACTAACTGCCAGCAGTGGCGTTCTTGCTGTCATTTCTTAACAAGGCAGAATGCTTGAAAAAGGTATGCATGAATACTTAGATTGTTTACTCTGTGTGTTGACCATAGAGGTTCTTTTTCTGTGGCTCCCTCCATTTAGGCCCAATCCCTCTCCATCTTGTGCTTTATCACTTGATTTGTGTACATTGTGAGCTTGAAATCGATCAGTGAAGTTCGCTTCACTGTATCTCGCAGTACGATGATGATGATGATAATGATGAGTATGCAGCTACACCTTTGGCTTCGGTTGGTGCCCCTCGCCTTTAAGGTTTGGGGTCCAAGGGATGAGGATTGTCGTTAATTAGAGACGCTGAGAGATATGATACAGAATAGAAATCAGTGGCGCGAATACTGTACGTTCTGTCTGTCAAAACTACTTGCCCCGTAAAAACAAAACAAAAAAATATCAAAAACTGTACGATGAAACACAAAATGATGTTATCCCGTTTATTCGTAATCTTCCATTCTAACAGTTACCTACTTTTCTCTGTATCTGTATCCCAACCCACTTCCGTTATTTTTATTCGTCCTGTGTATTTGATCTATTGAATCACATGATCAAGGACATGATACAGTTTTTTTCAATATTTCTCCTTGCAGATACGAAGAAGATGCCATTGGGTAAATTGAGTGCTCGTCAGATCACCAGCGCGTTTGAAGTACTGGATGAGTTGGAGGATGTGTTGAAAGGCAATAAGAAGGGGGACATCAACTTCCTGTCCTCTCGATTCTACACTCTGATGCCGCATTCGTTCGGGCGGGTTCGACCGCCACCGATCAACACACTAGAATTGTTGCGTGAGAAGATGGACACGTTNCTCTGGCACAAAAAATACAAGAGGAATTACCGTCTGTGGAAAACGAGGTAAGGATTGCCCACGTGATTGCCTAATTTCTTTCCAAAGTGGGATTAGATTTGCCAAGTGAATTTAACGCTTGCATCTGATAGTTCAATTAGGCATCTAAGCACACGAGTGTAAGAAACCTCGCCAACCTCGAGACATAAAATGTGATTCATATTCGCCGGAGTTTCATGCGCAGTTGCACTCCATAAACTTTGCGTTCACCGCTTTGGTTTAACAAGGAAACTTATAAACTCCGTATTGAAGAACCCTGCAACCACTCTACTTCAAGCTAGCGATGAAGATCTGGAAGTAGTCTTTGCGTATTACTTCCCATGCTTTCTCTAAAGCCTCTCGAGGGCCCCAGTATTCTGGAATATTCTACTTTTCGGGAAATCTACACCATATTAAATTGAATCGAGATCCGACGAAACTAAGGGACCTTATAGTTGAACTACCTTCACTTTCACATCCCTAAGCATTGCAAACAAATCGACAGTCTAGTCAGATAGATTCGTCCTGACCAGAAACTTCAGTGACCTCCCCTCAAATCGATCACTGGGGCATGTGTTTCGAACACTGGACTGATTTCTGCCAGACAAATGTGAGCCCCCTCAAGTGAACACGTGACTGAATCGAACAACATTTACCTCACCACACAACAGTGTTGACAGGCCTCCTGAAAGCTTTACCATTTCACGTTCCATTTGAGAAGCTATCGATTGGATTGGAAAACCCTCGGATCAGTTCACTTGAGAACGAAATCGGTTAGTTGGAGCTGTACGCGTTCAGTGTATCTCATTCTTATGCTAATCACACATTTTTATGTTCCCTATCTTTGTGTATATATTTCAAACACGTCTAACAACAGACTGTGTGCCAAACAAATCACGGTAGAAAAATCTTCATAAAAAGGGAAATCCTCGTGATTTGTTTGTGGGCGGAATACGGCTGGGTTGCCCAAACCAAAGCTGGTGAATCTTCTTTAGTAACTCATAACCGGAGCCTTCGGATAGCCAAAACCTGACCCACAAGGCAGCTGGGTGGTGTGTGCAAACCGCATTCCATTGGGGTCTGGTGTCCAGTACATA